GAGGAATTGCTTTCAGTGTTTATGAGATATGGTAGTAACAGGAAAGGGGTGGATATGCAGATGGATGCATGAACAAACCTCCGGCCATGGCTCTCAATGACACAGAGCTATAAATATGACACTGATGATTGTGCACTGACTCTGTGTGTGGGCAGGACACAGGGGAGTCTTGATGTTGGCTCTGTTTGGAGTTGTGTGATGGAATCCACCTTTGTTTTTTTCATTCAGCTGAGATCTGATCAGTTTGCGTGACAGCAGTTGAGATAAAATGCTTGAGAGTACAAACAGTGACTCAGACAAAAAGGAGAAGCTCAGCTTCAAAATGTGTTATTCAGGTTGCCCAATGGGCATTTCAGCTTGTTCAGACAATTCACTTTTGTCTTTCATAGCTGGGAAAGAGAGTGAAGAGTTTTCCCACCCTCTCACATGTGAAACCATGTATAACCGTCCAGCAAATTAGGTGGGAAAGTTGGAGAGGCCGAATGAAGAGCAGACGGCACCATGAACCGAAAAATACACTATGTTCATGGTTTAGTGATTCTACCAGGACTAGACCAGGTCCAAGTCCTGATTTGGGTCAGACAATTTAATATGTCAGCTCAAACCGATATCCACACCATGATGAAAACATGAGGAGAAACATTTTATCTCATCATCATAAAGTGATGCAAAGAGAAAGGCACATTTATGATGTTTCAGGGTGATGAGAGGAAATGGTTTTGTGTGTCAAACAGCCGACGTTAAAACTTCTCAGATTAGCACAAGTGTGGCTTTCCATTATCTTTTGATAATGCTGACAAGTTAGCTGCACGTTTGTCAAGTAAGCTGCCCTCCATCCTTCCATGCTGATCTAGCAGTGAAACAATGCTCTAAATGATACTGTGGTAGAGCACTGCTGAGTCAATGCAACCACATGAAGGAGAGTCTGAGAGGAAAGAGAAACGGGGTGTTCATGACTATTTCTGTATAAATTATGATGTATCTAATAAGAGAGGCTGACTGGAAATATAACGTCATGAAATGTGCTCAGTATGTCAAAAATGACACTTGTTTAAGAAAAGACTGAGGGGGTTGATCAGATGGAAAGTAGGGACTGAAACCAGGTGCTGTTGATGTTTTATTACCAAAAGAGGTTTCTTGTAAAGAGCTAAATAAAAACCTGGAAAGTTAAATATCTTATACAGGGACAGGCAGTCAGAGAGGTTGTTTTTGTCTTGCCTGTTAATGTTTCCATTCAACAGAACTGCAAACATCAATGCATTTTTTACCTCATCAATGATCTTTATTTTTTTTTATAGAACAGTAAATTAGTTAAAAAAGTTAAACACTTACATTTGCCTTTTCTTGAAAGACTTAATGACCTAATTGAATGATTGTTACTGATCTACAATCAAAGTGCTCCTGCCTTTGCAGATACTGTAACTGCAGTGGCAGCTGTGTCTGGAATCACCCGTCAAGTTTTGATGAATAATTCAGCTTAGGAGAGAGATAGTCCCTGCAGACTGTGGGCCTTCACAAGGAAACACATATTCATCTAATACAAATACATTGCATAATAATCATATTACATAATGTTACATGGGACTTACCCAGCTATTTTCTCAGACAGACCCGTTGCGCTTTGACCAATTCTACATACACTGCTACTCCCTTGTTTATTGTAACACAACAATAAACAAAGGCAGATTCCTTAAATGTCAAAATGTGCTTGGCAGTTAAACCTGATGCTGATTGGTTCAGTAAAACTGTAAGGTTTTGAACATGCGATTAATGCCATCTGAGAACATGTTCACAATAGACAAAAAGCTTCCGCCTATTTGGTTCAGCCTTAAGCTTTGACATTTATTCATGGGCTCATGAGGGCAGCATGAACACACTGATTTAATTTGAACACAACTAGAGGAAGTGCTGCATCTTGTTGCCAAAAAACAGAAAACTCCAAATCTGGTGTCACATCTAAATGTAACCACATCAAATACCTCAATAATATTTAAATAGTGAACGAAAAACAAATAGGGCATGACTTAATTAATGAGTTTATAACAGGACACAGTAAACTCATATTTCTTTCCAGAGTGCCAGACCCAGGGTGTTGGCACAGGAAGGCAGACAATGGCAGCACCATAATATGCACTGTGCTTCCTGTCCGGTAATTCAACAGAAGGCTTAATTGGGAGATGTGGTTCAGTCAGACAAGTGCACTGGAAACATGAGGGTATTTTAAAAATCACATGTTCATTATTGAAGCGCAGACATAATTCATTTTTGTAGCATCCATCTGTCTGTGCAGCCGGATCTGATCTTCAGGAGCGAGGGGTTTGGCATGGTAATGAAAAGCAAAAAAAAACGATCAGAAACTGGGAGAAGAGGAGTAACGTAGTCCAGGATACAGCAGACTTAATAAAATATGCTTGTGTTATGCTTGACTTGCAATTTGCCTAAAGAGTCTCAATCTAGATCATCAAATGAGAAGAGCCAGAGTTGCTTTTAGTCCATTGAATCTTTGCATTTCTGTTCCTGAGCTCTGTCAGTGTAATTGGAGGGACGCTAAAGTTTCAGACTGTGAGCATCACAAACCAAGTCTCTAAATGACCCTTCAGTGTACCTGGTTTCTGAGGTTTTCATTGAGAGCTGAATTACCCACAGAGGTCTCCTCCGATGCAAATCCAACATACAGTTTGATTCTAACCTGTAAAAACAATCAATAAAGAATTTTCATTATACAAAACTGTCTCCATTGCTCTTTAGGGACTGGCAGACAGACTTCCCTCCCTCCTGATCACCGGAGTATAAGACAGAATTTAAAAGCAGTTTAATTGCCTGGGTTGATACAAAACTAAGCAAGAAAGGTGGTGTTTGCTTCCACACTGTCTCTGACTAGATACACAGTAATTAAGGGCACCCTGTGCTTTGTAGAGACCCTGTGAATTAGTCCTGTCTAATGTTGTTCCAAGAGGCTTTTTATGTGGCCTGCGTGTCTACTCGTGGGGCTGTAAAGTCGACAAGCATGAACAGGTCGAAAGTGTGGGTATAGACACCTAGTTAGTGGAGGGGGTCAATGGGGGTGCTGAAGTAAGCGGCTTGTAGGTTTTGGCTAAGATGTGGTCTGTGTGTCCTCAATCGACAGTGAGCAAATATTATGTTTACGGTGGTGTATAAAATTTGATTTATTGCTGAGGTTTTAAACTGGGTGTGTGCTGGAGACAATTCAGGTGGAATTATGGGTGGAATTATGCTTTTTAAGGTTTTAGTTTTTCTAAATCACTATCTTTGAGATACTATGATGCATGTGAGTACTCCAGTATGTGCCTTGACATGTGTCTCACCAAAGCAGTTAAACCTCACCCAGCGTGGGCTGCACATGGTGAAAGAGCTTCTCTCATTATAGTTCATAGCACTACTTCTCCATTTTATCAAAAATACAGACTGATGGATTGATTGATCAATGCCCTAGAACTTCATCAAAAACTGGGCAATTGCTCCTCTTCTCTCCCCCTCCACAACTTTCAACACAGAAACACCTCTTTTTAACTGAACGCTTCTCTCCTCTCACCTCTTCCCTCATGTGCCATTTTGCTTCAGCATGTATAATGGTGAGCTCGTATCAATCATTTCCACCTCTGTGTTTCTCACTGAGCTCTCGCTCCTCTGGGAGTCAGCAATCCCCTCAGGGGGAAAATCTGTGTGTCAGACTGTCCAGAATGAGCCCAGCCCAGGAAACAAAGAGCATGGACTGGAGTGGAGAGGTAAGAAGAGGAGCGGAGGAGGGTTTGAGCAGAGGAATGCAGGGGGTCTCTGAGAGAGGGGGGCTATCAAAACACTGCCCTGGTCACAGTGAGCCTATTCATACTTCGTTTCATTCACATTTCCTCAGGTCGCTTTAGTGCCCTCTATTTAACACGTGTGTTCTGACCAAAAACCAGTGTGACAATGTTGGAAATTATATCAAAATGTTTCTGTATCAACGATGTACAACCCTGGCAATACCACACAGCCTTATGTCAAACTTAGCTTCTCTGTAAATACAGAGAGTGTTTTAAAGAAATGCTCACAGCGACTTCATCTCCTTAGAGGACTCAGTGGCCTTGGTGTCAGACAGCAAGTTTTAAAACTAGTGTACACATCTATTGTGGAGTATGACGACTTTTCAACTTTCTGCCGGGAATGAGGTCACTTGTACTGTAGATTTAAGAATAAACTCTCTAAGGTTGTCTCAATAGCAGACAAAACAGTGGGCACACCACAAAAACCTCCGCCTCAAGTATTTACTGCTGGGACAAGGGAGAGCGCGAGGAGGATCCTAACAGACAATTCCCATCCTCTCTTCTGCCACTTTTAGCCTCTGAGCTCAGGGAGGCGTACACGAGTCCCTCTGGCACCTCAAAATGTATTTAAGAAGTCATTCATCCCAAATGCGATGTGCATTCTTCACCTGACAAAATGACAGCGAGATCTAACCCATGACATTAAACGTTCAGCTGCTCTGTTTGTCTCTTATTGACTGAATGTTTTTATACTGCCATAAGTATCTGAAGAGCCTTTATGCAAATTACCACCTTTAGAGGACAATTAAGATGTATTGTTTCTATTCTAAATGTCTGAAAGCTCCACAACACTATCTTTCCACATGTTTTTACTTCTGTTAAATATGCAGCTGCGTTACATTGCCTTGTTTCCACAGTAACTTAACTTTGATAACCACAATAGCAATGTGCCACTTTCACTTTACAGTTATCAAAAGTTTTCTGACATGTGATCATACACTGTACAAGAACAGTGAGATGTATTTTTTTTAAAAAGAACTCAAAAGTGTCTTTAAAGACAAGGGAGCATAACATAACATAACATGGGGACACTTAATGTTGTTAAATATCCGTATGTAAACTTCAAGCTCCGTCGTTTTACTGTCTCCATGGTTACCTTATTGTCTTATCTAAATTAGGTAGTAACATGGTAGGTGTGATTCGGTGTGTAGGTGAAGTAGGAGCAGTGTTATTTACCTGGCTTGGTGATGCTCTGGAAGTAAAGCACCAGGACGAAGAGTGAGCCGAGGCACGTCGCCAGGAACAGGCGTCCTCCTCTGGGCATCCTCATCCTGAAGCCCGGAGCCCCCGACCCCTCGTCGCTGCCTCGACACGGTTCATATACGAGACCACCCGGCGGACGATGCAAGACTTTTGGAAGAATACGGGGGAGGGGGGGGGGGCTATTGATTAATTTCGAGAAACTAACGGGGAAACAAAAAGAAAAAGCCCATCAGGGGATGGAGTAAATACACTTCTCCTTAATTATCCGTTAACGTAAACGCCTGCGGGACGTTAATCGAGAAACGCCCGGTTTCTGACCGTTTTAAGACGTTAAATCAACATTAATGATAAATTAAATTAAATTAATTGACGTAGCGCTGATATGGCAAGCCGTAAGAGACAAGTTATTATCCTCTTCCCCTCTCCTTATCTCAGGTTGTTGCCTCAAGCACTGCTGCTGCGGAGTTTGTTGAAACTACACAAACTTCTCCGCCAAATATGGGCGGGGCGTCGTGCCATGACGTCACAGCAAACCCCTCTCCCACATTGAAGCTGGTATGATGCCTTCATGTACAGTCGGACATATTAACTGTTCACTCTGGAAATCCGTTTTTACCTTACATGTGATGGATTCGCTGCTATGAAGAGTCTCTTTTCAACATTCGGGCTAGTGATTAAGCGCTAACACACACCCACTACAATATGTGCCTTATCGATTACTATCCTTCTGTGTTAATCGGAATTCCGAGGAACATTTAAACGCAGCATTATAGTCATTGACACAGATTTCAACAGAATGGGGTACAACGTGTCCTTGCACATGCAACAAGTGACAGCATAATTGTGCTTTCAGTAAAACGATTTATGAAATACATTAATTACAAATATTTGAATATTTTGAACCAGAAAAATAAACTTGTAGAAAAAATAATAATACATAAAACAATCCACTTATTGGTATTTTTAACTGCTGTGGAGGATGAGTACAAATGTCTTAACCCACGTCCTATTTTAAGTCCTTAGAATTTGCTTATTGCATAAGCAGAAACTGCAGAGATCATCTGCATACTTCTGTTGTGCCACAGTTCAAAACTTAGTATGACTCCAGTACTGGCACGTTTTTTTCTCTTTGTTCAATACAAGACAATAAATAAAATCAGTAGTAGCCTACTTAGTTTGTTTGTAGGGGAAAACAAGGACTGTCTTGACATGTTTTAAATTGCACCCTGGTTGAGTTCAAGCTGTCACATTAGTTCTAATTGCATTTTGCCCCAGTCTTTTTTCATACCAAGATCAAAATCCACTTCTGAACTAAAGCACATAGCACATAGCCTAGTACAAATGCCATGTCTCAGAGAAATAATTGCAGCATTGTATTCAAGCAAAGCTTCTAATGTCATTGCCTGAGAGGAAAGTTTTTTGACAGATCAACTGCTTGCTCTGCAAACAGTGTGTATAATCCCCCATGCATAATCATGCAGCAGATTATGGTTTCAGTGGTATGTTGACTGTATTTAGCATCTCTAGGAGCAGGCTCATTGAAAAATAACAATAGAATAAATATTAACACGCACACTTAAAACTGCATGTATACCTATCAAGGTACATCAGTGTATTTTTCTACTTTTGGACTCATATAGCACGACAACCTTTTTTTCTCACATTTTTAACTGCTGTTCCGTACATTTGGATTCTGTTGAATGCAGACACCCTTGAGGCCCCCTCGTAGTAAAATGAAGACATTTTTTTTTTACCTCTTGTTATCTTGATGGGCAAAAGGCAAATGGAGGCACATGCACTCAATATTATCCGGAGTATCTGACTCTGACTTTTCTAAATTTCCTAATTCACACTTGCCCCTCACAGTGGGGAGTCTCCTCGTCGGACCAGTGGGGTAGTGTGCAGGGGACGGGTGGGAGTCTAGAGAGGCAGGACACAACGCTTAAAGTCCGCTGTGGAAGTCTCAGTGCGACAAGATGGCGGAAGATACAACACAGACCTACGCAACCATCATAGTTTTTGCAGTTGTATTGATACTACAGGCTATTGCATTTATCCACAGAATCGATAAAAGGTTCAAAAATAAAATAGGGGCGAGCAGAAGAGAGTTTGAAGCTTCCTCACTATGTGCACAAAGATTACACCAGAGAAAGAAGACTGCGGCGCCATGGTATATTTGATTCTCTTCAATCTGACTAATTTAGGTTACATGTAGGCCTATTACATACAAATCTATTTTTAAGTACCAATTTTGTCTAGCTGAATAATTGTAACGTTCAGCACATGGTGTGGGCATATTTAAAGTGATATCCAAACGACCTGTCAAGCAGCAGTAATGTTGATTTTCTGTTTTAAGGTCTTCATTGTTAGACTTCAAATTTTGTGCATCCATAATTAAATGTAGCATAATGCCGCCAACTTACAATATCCAGCTTCCTGTTTCACTTTTTTCCCACTTTTTGATATAATTAGTAAAAACAGATCGATAGACTACTATACAAACGGAGCAGTTATAGAAGATAATCTAAAAATGTTAACCATGTTTGTTTGTGGCAATGAAGAAGCTGGTGAAGAGGAGTGCTATAACACTGTACCTGAATTTAAATATATAACAAAAAAAAGGTGCAAACGGCATTTTCCTGCAGCAGACACTAAACCTCTGAGGTAGTGCCAGGTCAGCGTGTGAGCAACCGAACCATTCAGGCTTCCCTATCCAAAAATACTGTCATGACTCAAACGCTTTCATGACACATGAAACATGCAGCGTCTCCGTCTCCGGGTTTTTGTTCTCTCTCTTGGAAACACTTTACAGAGATCTCAGACTTCCAAATATCACTTATTTGGGTTGGTTAATCATGACTTGGCCAATGATGTGGTTGTTAGGGCAAATGTTAGCTTTTACGGCACAACTCTCACCAGTAGACCGTTTACTGACCACCCACAGGGTCTGTGTGTCGACTCCCTAATTACTGACAAGTTCCTCATAACCACTCTGACTAGTACTTAAGGAAACATAAACTGCTGACGTCTGTGATTTATTCAATTTATTTAGTTTTATCCTCAGAAAAGATGTGTCATTAAGTTGCCAACGCCTCTTTTTTCGACTGCGAGGAAACAAATTATGGGATCTGTGTCGTCTGTTAGCTTAGGTGCTATGATCGCTCACAGCAAGATTTATATAGTCATCAACATATGCTTAACTGTTATTCAAGTCAGACTTATAGCTAGATGCTTAGTTTTATATTTAATGCTTATTGTTGTCCATTTATCTCAATTTTGTCATTTTATCTAATAACCAGTTACTTTACATGTCTGAATGTCCTGTATGGTTTACACTAAGCTCTTACTAGTTAATATTGGTCAACACATTGTGTTTTTATTCTAATCATATCTATTCTTATTCTATTTGCACTCATATGCACGCTCTTCTTTTGGTCTTTTTATGGCTGCAATACTTGGATTCTTCCACGGGGGATCAATAAAGGATTCTCTTATCTTAAAAAAATATATACACAAAGGTGTAAAATTAAGGTGTGTAGGTGTAACATTATGGTACGAGTTACCAGAGTCATACAGTGCAGGCCAATAAATCAAGAAATTAAAGGAAGAATGTGAGAGACATTTTACATAAATACAGCAGAAATCCAGTCTATCCTGTTTAAATGTTTCTGAGTCATGACTGTCTACAATGAGGGAGAAGCTTGAGTCCCGCTGGCTGTGTTAGTGTCAGAGCCGTGTTTACATGGACGGGACGGCCGGCTCCTCCCCTTGTTTATAAAAGCTGTTTTAGTCAAGGACTAGAGAGAAGAAGAACATACTCACTGATTATTTGGATGTTAGTAAGAGTTTTTAGATCACGCTCATTCTGTGTCAGTTTATGTGCAATGTGAAGCTACGAGCTAACTAAAGAGCGCTAACATTAGCATGACACAGGTGATTGCAGCTCGAGCAAAGGACAATTGTGTCCGCTGCTTGCGCTTAAAGGTGCTTAATTATGGTCATTCTAGTTCATAACTCCTTCGTGTGATCTGAGTGTAGAGGGGTTGTAGGTGTGTCTCTGGAGGAGAGCGGAGGCTTCAGTATGGAGGAGGTGTGGCCAAACAGAAGTTTGTTTTGGTTTCATGTTGGTGCTCAACGGCGACATCTACTGGATCAAAAAGTGTCACATTCTTCCTTTAAAGAGTGTTTGAATGTGAAAGAAATGGCTCTTTTTCCTCCGTCATCCTCAAGGACATTACTGTAAATGAGTGTGTTTTTCACCTCAGATACAAATGGTAGAAAATCTGAGAGTAAGAGCAACACAAGAGAGGATCTGGAGAGGATGAAACCATGTCAGGTGTACAAGTGCAAAGAAACAGCTTTAAATGTCTGAAATCCAGGAGTGATTTTTGGTTAAAAGCTGCTTTTACTACTAAGATCAAAATGATTACTGTGAAAGAGATCCTCAGTGTGACTCATTTAGTAAAGGATGATTAAATGAAAGTAATGCTGTGATAATAACAGATTATCAAGACTCACATCAGAATGATTTATTTCAAGAGGTAATGTCTGGAAAACGTCTGATACCACTGCTCTACACTTTATCATTACTGTCCACAAAGTGTCTACAATCTGAGATTCCTCTGCAGCATATACTTTGAAATGTAGCCGCCTGCAATAAAAAAGCTATTTTTCAAAGGAAACATTGAGAATAAAGTTGAAGTTTCAGCATTGGTGGCAATATTCAGAAAGAGATGTTTGATAAGCGCCTACGACTTTCTGCTCTCAGATTCTGGCTACATTTTCATCCCTATAACTTCCAGCTCTGAAGCACTAAATTATGAAAATGTACTCTTAATTCTCAAAATGCAAAATAGAAAAAAATATCTTGCCTGTCGCCTCTTTCCCCTCTTCCTTCTTCCTTCTCGTTCATAAATTCAAAAGAACTGATTGCATGTAAATGATCCAAGTTCAAGAGAATCCCAGCCTTGAAATGTTCTTTATTTGTGAATGTTAGAGACGTAAATGTTTGCAGTTTTCCCTCCGACATGTGCTGTAAGACCTGCAGTTAGCGGTTAGCTGCTTTGATCTCATATGGTTCGCTGTATGTTGTGCCGGGATGGGCCGGGATGTAAGTGTGGAGACATCCCCCGTAAAAGTCAAAAGACAATCACAGGGCCCTAAAACATGCTGTAAGACACGGGGCAACATTTCTCCTAGACATGAACTTGAGTCACTTTTTAAGGCTTAGAAAAGATTTAATCATAAGCCTGTAAAGCCAGCCTGTAATACACGCACTGTATAAAATCAGCTTGTTTCAGACAACCACGCTAAATAAACTGAACTAGGTCATCTGAGGGAGAAGGCAAAGAGGACGTCTTTAAGGTTTCATGTGCAGCACACAGTCCGCTGACGATGCTTCTGTCATTGACTCACATAGCAAGTCAAAATCAGATTTTTTTAAATCCTCAA